CCAAAATTTAAATACATTTTCTTGCATCCATTTTTTAAAAAATACCACTTATTACAACACGTTTTCTTAATTTTATATCCTTTATGTGGGTCTCATGATACTGCGTCCAAGTCGCGAAATCTGGAAACTTTACAGCTCAAACAGTAAAGGCCAATGTATCAAAGTATTTTTTTGTAATATAATTTTTTTTAATTTGTAAAAGTAATTTATGCTGTGTTGCGATTGACTTGTTCAATTTCTGGATATAATTATAATATTATTTAAATAAATTAATTATATAATAACAATATTAAAATTTTTATTAAATAAATATATATTTTAAATATACTGTATTATATAAGCATTGTATAAGTACAATTCCAAAAATCTGTGGATATGTCTTTAAATAAACATTGTTTTATACGTATAAAAAGAAAAAAATTTTTAGCATAAAAATTAAAGTGTGTTTCTTATTCTAATATCACAATCATGAGAAATATTTAATTGAATCTTAAAAAAATTCAAGTATTAACTCATTGTAAAACTGTAGTTAACTGTAGTTTTAAAATAAACTACAGTTTATTTAATTGTATTTTCTTGATCAATATTTATATAAAAATTATTCATGAAATTCTCATTTTATAAGAACTCAATGTTCCATTTACATTAATAAAAAACTATGTTTTCATTTAAGAGTCAAAGATAACAAATAGAACTATATATTTTAGAAACATATAATTGAACTTCAATTAAAATAAAAAATTTTAATTATATTAAAATTATGTTAATTCAAACAAAATAAATATTAAAATATTTGGGTAGATGTATACAAAATGCTTATTAGAAAATTTTTTGTTTTCAGTAGTGAATTATTTCAAATAAAACACAATACATCTTATTTACAATTTCTAATTATTTTGTTAATATAAGTTGCACTTCAATAATAGTGATGTGACCCGGGATCACATCAATACACAATAATGGCACGCTATCTAAAATGATTTAAGAAAATAAAATTCAATTAAAAAATATAGTTTTCTTTATTCAATTAATGTGCTATCCAATAAAGTATTGATCCCAATTCTGCCTACTGTAGTTTTTAATGGTTCATGTGATCTTGAAGTATTCTATAAATATGTGTCTGAACCTTACAATTTCATATAGTGCCACATGCAGCATGAAGGTTATGATAATAATAAAACTTCAACTAAAAATAAATTGAAATAATTTTAATTCAAGGACTAATTATACCAGGTTATATTCAAGCCAAGATATATAATATTATAGCAGTAGGAATTTTGCAACAAAATCGCAATTATTTAAAAGAGGTTAGACAAAAACAGAAGCATGGAGGAACTTTTGATTAAAGCCGAGTTTTTAGTGGCACTTACAGATTATAATCATGGAAAGTACAAAACTTCTTTTGAAAATTTTGAAAAGGTATCTAAAAATACAATAAATACACAATATAAAAATAGTGCAAAATATTATTTGGCATTGCAGTATAAAAATGGGAAACCCATTTTAAATGATAATAAAGCCCATGATCTCTTTAATCAAGTTGCACAAAGTGATTCAACATATAAAGATGATGCAAAATATATGTTGGCACTTTATAAAAAGGCTAAAAGTGATGATCGTAAAGCCTTTGATCTCTTCAAACAAGTTGCAGAAAGTGATTTAACATATGAAGATAATGCAAAATATATGTTGGCAAAATGCTATGAATCAGGGCTAGGTGTTGAAAAAGACTATAAAATGGCTTATAAAAAATATTTAAATCTTTTAAAAAGTAATGATTTTGAAAAAGGTTACAAAAAGAACTTAAAGTTAAATGATATTAAATTTGAGTTGGCAAAGTGCTACGCAAACAATGAAGCGACTAAAGATGTCACCTTTCAACTATATTTAGATCTCTCAAAATGTGAAAATCAAAAGTATCAAATTGATGCTTTGAAGTGGCTGGCAAATCATAAACTATTATAAACTACAATAAACTCTGTTTATATTACCTGTTAACATCGAAATCAAAGTTCTATTGCCCAACTTGTTCCACATGAAGCACATAGGGCCGTTATAAATATTTCTCTCTGTCTTTTCTAACATCTTAAAGTATTTTTTATTGTTTATAATGAATCTAATTTTGAAATATTGATATTCGGCAAAACATTTAAGTTTCTATGTAGCAAGCAGTTTGAAATTTCTTTTACAAAGTAAATTCGCTTTTTTTAGTTTACGGGTGATTTTTATCAATTTAATCTAAATTCTTTTTATATCAATCATTTGGTGCAAAAAAACTTATATTGTACGTGAGATGCATCAATTTTTGAATACTAGTCTTTGCTACGTAGTATTTAAGAGTCACCTAACAAAATAATGATGATTAATCTTTGAATATTTCGTATTTTAAAATAAAAAATAAGATATCATTTAAATTAGCACAAAAACAAAATGTCAAAAAATATTTTTACCTTTTCTCTTTTTCCAATTCTGCATTCAATTAGACACAAGTTTGACTCAGACGATTGATTTCATCAAGAAGAAAAGACTCTTTCCTTGACTGACTCTTAAGATGCGAGACAGCTTTAAACAAAAAATAGACAATAAATTAAGCTCACACAAACAAAATTATATTCATTAAAAGTTAAACTACTTACCATTAGTAATTTGAATTCATAAACAAAAATGCTTTTTCTTCTCAGAACAAAATTGATTAAATAATTTATATAGTTAGAATTTTCAGCTTCAAAAATCAAATATGATGCATGAATTGTTTTAAATATCTTATTATGATATAAAATATGTATTTTCTAAATATATTTAAATGGGTAGAAGGTAAAAAGATTTGTAAAAAATATAAATGCAAATTATTCAGTAATTAGGCCGTTCAAAGTTGATTAGTTGGTTAACGTCACCCCCCTAAAAGAGCCTTTTCAACTTCCTTTTTGCTATCAGCATTAAGTAGCATAGAATTTATAAATCCACTTAAATCTTTAATTGTTCTACCTATCAGAATAAGGCCGTTCAAAGTTGCATTGTTGCGGGCTGTCCCTGAAAATTAAACAAGCCAATTACAATACAGGATAGTCTTCAATAATCATGTGATTAAGGTTGACCAATGAGATCTAATCAAATATTCCGTGTCGTATATGTGTTTATTTAAATTCTGAACTGAGTTTAACTTTTAATGAATTTGTTATTCATTTCATTTTCCGATGGCATCAGGATGCCGTCGGAGAATGAACTGGGTTTAAAATAAGCTAACATTTAATGAATTGGCTCATAATTTGAGTGCTGCAGAGTGAAAACTTAAATATTCAGTTCCGGGTTTTCACTCTGCAGCACTCATATAATGGATTCAGATCCGGATCATAATTTTGGTAAACATGATTATGTGACTTAAGAAATTCTATTACAGTATTCGACACTTGTATATTTATAATTAAACTAAGATAATTGTCTATTTCACATTGTATTAATAATTTTCTGTTTTTGTCACAAATTCTTGGCTACATGATTAATTTAATGTGTTTAAAGTAATAATAAATTGCATAACAAACATCGATATAATACTATGACGTATTATCATGATAAACATAATTTTGGTAAACATAATTTTGTAGAATTAATTTGTACTTCTGGTAAACATAATGTTGATAGAATTAATTCAAACTTTGGTAAACATAATGTTTGTAGAATTAATTCAAACTAGTTAACATAATTTTGGTAGAATTAATTCGTAACCCTTTGGGTAGTTACAAACCAATCAAACGCTTTATTTTATTTCAATCCCTGACATGATATAATCTGAACACTCTATAATGAATTTAAACTTAAGAAAAAATTAGTTGATAATAATCGTCATTCGATAATTTAATACAGTAATTGACCAAGTAAAAAAATAATACAAGTAAGTGTGGGAAAGTGAAAACCTGTATTGTGATATAGCTGGTTTATAGGCAAAAAAAAAACATCCAAAAAATTTTAAAAATTTCGTATAAAATTAAGAAAACGTGTTGTAATAAGTGGTATTTTTTAAAAAATGGATGCAAGAAAATGTATTTAAATTTTGG